GCCCATCAGGAAGAGTGGAATAGGGCAACCTTTAAGCTACTCCCTTACAGCGTTTAAGCCTTGAAACTCAAGCTTCTAAAATCCAAAAGATCATCCCTAATCCCTATGGCAGAAATAATTGACAATCAACACCAATAGTCAAACGAGTAAACTCAAGTATCACAACAGGAAAGAGATCAAGGCCAAGAACTGAAGGAAGACATAAGTTTAAATGTTCATATTCTTCTATATGCATCTTCTCCATGAGTCCAACAAATGTAAGAGCGTTATCTTACTTGGAGATTTCTTGCTTGTCTCTGCAGAACTTCTGCACCGCTGACAATGTATAATGCCGGGCGTATTCAATATCGAACAAGCTAAGATCAAACTGTTTACCCTTGGCAAAGTTGGCATCTCTAAAATACCCTTCTTTGTATAAATAAGATAGAAACGTTTCCATGTCCAACGAAAGCTTCTTTAAACCAACTGGCTGCCTCTGTTTCACTTCTTTATGCGTTTCATCGACAGCAGTGATTCCATGACTTAATCTCCCCAGATTAGCTTCCTTCGATTCCTCCCCTTGACCAAACAAATCATACAATCTCTTTGGCTCAGGTTTCTTTGGTTGCTCCACCTTAACTACCTCCTCCTCCTCCTCCTCTATGAATTTTACTTCCCTGGGTTTCTTCAATTTCTTCTTCGGCTTCTTCTTTTTGTCTTCTACGAGTCCAACTTCACTTTTCTTATGCTCTGTCTTCTCCGACAAACCCCCGGCTTCACCTTCTTTCGGTTTTTCCTGGAGCTCCCCCTTACCGATCTCCTCCTCTTCTATGAATTTTACTTTCGATTGCCTGGATTTCACCAATTTCTTCTCCCGTTTCTTCTTCTTCTCGACGTCTTTTACGGTTCCAATTTCACTGCCCTTGCTCCCTGTTTTCCCAGATAAACCAGCGGCTTCATCTCGTTTCAATTTTCCCTTGAGCTTCTCGTTTTTCGGAACGCTTCTCCGTTCTGGAGGTCTCTGAAAGAGAGAATGCAACGACTTTACGGCATGCGTTCGGTCTGATTCTGCGAGGGCTTGAGAGGAAGAGGCGAGGGGCCTGCGATGAGACGGAGGGATTTTGTGGGAGTGAGGAGGGTTTGAAAGGATAATGTGGTAGACGAAGGCGACATTTTGGGGCTCCAGAAGCGAATGCAAGCGACGAAAGAGAAGGTTTCTTGCTAAGGCCATGGGGTTTAGCTGACTGAGCCGTAGATCACAGCATTTGAGGAACTAGGGTTTAAGGGGGGTTCTCACTCGGACCAGAAAGGAGCAAACTTGAGAATGCCTTCTGGGAAAAAAAATAAAAAATACAAATTAAAGCACTCCTTTCTCTTCAATAACAACTGGGCTTCTTCCAAAAAGCAAAATCCAAACATCCCTGGCCCATTTTAGATTTTTTTTCCAGGCCTGCCTGCCTACCACTGAAATGAAGAAAAGAGGCAACAAGAAAGACAAAACAGGAGATGTAATGGACATACTGATGAGAGTTGGACCTAGTAGAAGGTATTAATTTCTCACAAAATGAAAATTTAAATTCCAGTTAAAAGAGGTGTCCATATTTAATATCCAATAATATCTTGAGCGGCATTACTTCCAATAAAAAGATATATGTGTCTATCAAAATAAACAAAGAGATGAAATGAAGAGAAGAAAGTAACTTCTAGGGGAGTTGAGAAATGCGCTGCAGTGGAGAAGCAGTTTCACACCTGGGGAAATGAATATTTATTAATTAATAAGTACTGGTTTTTGAAATTTTTTACCACTAGAATGATTTTAAAAAAAAAGGTAAGATCTCCTCTTTTTTTTATGCATAATGAGATTTACTTTTGTAATATTAGTTTTGAATTTTCTAGTTATATTGTTAATTTATTTTTCAAATTATTTTTGCATAAAGAAAGATAATGACGTGTGGAAGAAAGATGACTCCAGGTTTCATCAAGCATTACCAGAGGGATGGTTTCCCCTTCGTTCATCAGAAGTGAGGATTGAAGCCGTCGCCAGTGGGAGCTCTAGTTTGGTCTTGGAACGTGATGCTGCATGTCTTTGCTTTGTTTTGTTTTTTTTTTTTTTTGGCTAAAGTATAGGGATCCTCCTATTGGAAGCAATCATATTCGATGTACTGTTGGGTACTAAATATGGACACCTCTCTCAGTGGGGATTCAAATCTTGGTTCGTTATGTTGTAAGAGACTAACCCCTTCCGTTAAACTTAGCCAACTCCCGTTGGTTGTTTTGCTTTCTGTTTCGTTAGTTTTTTACGGTTGTTTGGTTAGCTGGGCAATCTGTTTCTCTGGGCCGGCCTTTGCTCATGGGTTATTTGGAGATAGCCCAAATGAACCATCTATAATAGGCCCACCTTTTGTTACCTTGTAATCTTTTTATCTTGGTTAATGAAGTTGAAGTTGTCATTATTTCAATATATATATATATATGATATTATTTTTTATTTAATTTTTATGTTATTGGTTCCACCACCTGTTTTACCTATTTGATCGTTTGAACTAGGACCCAGTTAACTCTCCAATTCAATATCTAGTCCAACTTTTACAATGTTGCATCAAATATAGGTAACTTGAATTGGAATGTAACCCATGTTCTTGTATCGATGGAGGTTTTTCAAAAATGGTATCACCTCCCATCATAAGTATAAGAGATAATTAGAAATTTAATTTGGTACTAAATATAAGATGTCACCTTATTTTATCTCTTATATTAATTCATTTCAAAATAGTTCTCATGATGCATGTTAAAATGATTTTATTCTAATACACATTATTAATAAATATATTTGAAAGAAGACAACACTCATTTATTATAAAAAAATAATTTAACTTATTTTTTTAATATTCATAAATTAGTTATTGAGTTCTTATATTAAAAATTGAAAGTAGTATTTTATGGGACAGAATATGAAGAAATGTTTCTTGGAATTGAACTTTCTCAGGTCAAAAAATTTGGGACGACTTGACCCTTTCAATTTGGGTCTAAATATCAAGCTCCAATAGGGATTAAGTCATGTTTGGGTCCAAGCTAGGTAAAGTGAAAAGGTTTTCCTCTTTATAATTTTTTGTTCCTTTCTTTTGATTTGATCTTGGAATATATTTCTATAACATTCAGGATAAGGGCTTATCACATTGCAATGAAATTAATGTTCAAACATATATTAGAGCTCATTTTTATGACAACTCTATGATTAGTCTCAATTTATCTGGATTTTTACCAAGTGGATATTGGGTTCCTTACGCACTACATAATAAAATATTTTGGTTCTATATATTATTGGTTTATAAAGTATATATAATAGCTTAGATGTGTATATATGTAACGTTGAAATGTGGGAATTTGTGATATGAAACGTACTAACTTTTATATGTCACATAATGTTTGTCTCAAAATTGTCTAAATGCTTGATCATGGAATTCTACAGGCTGCGTCATGTGTTTTCCTCATACTAGTACTGTTTAGTTGTTTGAAAGATGAATTTTCTCTGTGACAGAGATTTAAAAGACAAATGTAATATCAAAATCTAAGACAATAAAATCGGTACATCTATATACTGACATTAGATGATACTGCATCATGTGACTAACTGGCTTGCTTTTTTTTTTAAAAAAAAATTGGGTTACTTATGGTCATCTTGCCTACGATTTTCATCAATTCAAGCTCTAAATGGTTTTATTTTGTTAAGGATTTAATTGGAATTATGTTACGCCACTTCAATGTAAACTTCTATTGACATTTTAGATCACACTACCTCCCATTTTAAACGTAAAAACTAGTTAGATTTAATTTGATCTTAAATATAAGATTCATTACAATTCATTTTGTCTCATATATTTATTTATTTTTAAATAATTCTCATGGTGATTACATATGTTGAAATGTTTCTATTTTAATACGCATGATTAATAATAATGATGTTTTAGAAAAAAATAAAATTTATTTATCACAAATAACTAATTTAATTAACTTTTTGAATATTCTTACGTAATTAGTTATCTAACTTTTATATTAAGCACTAGGGATAATAGTTTACTAATTTGCAAATTGTTTTCTCACTACATGCTTAAAAAATTTCATGTGGCGATTTATTTACGAACAATATCTCCCCTTGCATATGGTTTTGTTTACCCAACATTGAGATATACACATTTAACCAATTGTTCATTGAACACAAAATGATCGATATACGCATCTCTGTAAATTCATTAAATAAATCGATAAACATTCACTTATCATATACTATCTAATCATCATCAATACATGTCCACCTACTACCTACGAAATATTATTCATTGAATGTAAAATATAAACTTCACTTTATATATATATATATATATATATTCATCTGCAAATCTGTTCACAATACATGTATTGGGAATTAGAGAGAAGCCGTAAAAGATGATTGCTAAAAGAGGGGATAAAGACTGATATAATAAGCATTCAACTGAGAAAATTCATCTAACAATAAAAATTTCACCTTAATTCACTTAAAAAAATATTATAAAATATAAAATTACAACACCAACCAGATTCCATAATATATACTCCGATCTTTGATATAAGATCTAATTATTGAGTTGATTTTGATCTTAAATATAAGACCACTTTCTCATATTTATCATTTTTTTAAATTACTCATATAATACTCTTTAAGTATAATCAAATAGGAAAGGAAGGAGAATATTAAGAAAGATAATTATACTGTTTGAGGCAAAACATGTCATATTTCTTATAATTAACTAATTTATTTAATTTTTTAATCTAATCAAATTAGTTAATAAGTCTTATATTAAGGATCAAGTGTGTATATATATATGTTCTCGCCATGGTCATCTGTCCAATAATATACTACTTTTCCTAATTATAAGACTTATTTGTAAACTATAAATGAGTTCTTATAATTAGGATAGGAAGCTAGTGTGTGTGTATGTGTGTATATTCTCCCGATCGTCATCTGTCCAATAATCACTAATAGTATGGCAGAAGCGCATAATCCCACTGTTCCTCTCTCCCTCTCCTTCCTCCTCGTCACCTGCATTTCTGGCTTTTTATTCCTTACCGAAGCAACCAACCATGGCTTTAGTGTAGAACTAATCCACCGAGACTCTGCAAAATCTCCACTCTATACTGAATCATCACACGTGCAGAAACTTCACAGCTCTTTCCTTCACTCCATCAAACGAGCCAATTACTTCTACCCTAATACTGAAACCGTTGAAGCCGAGGAAGATTTACCAGAATCTGAAGTAATCCCTATTACAGGAGAATTCATCATGGCCTATTCCTTACGAACACCACCTTTCAAAATCTTTGGAATAGCAGACACAGGCAGTGACCTTGTTTGGTCACAGTTTTTACCTTGTCGTAATTGCCATAACCAAACCGCCCCCTTATTCGATCGTTCTAAATCCTCAACCTTCAAAAACATCTCTTGCTTCGACCAAAAATTTACATCTATAGTTCCCCGTGAGGTCCAGACATGTTGTGAGGATGGAACAAAACTTTGTCAGTACGACGTGCAGTACGCGGATCACTCAGTTTCAATCGGAAACATCACATCAGACACACTGACACTTGGCTCCACCAGTGGTCGCCAAGTGGCGTTTCCTAACATTGTGGTTGGTTGTGGTTATATTGATGGTCCATTTAGTGAACAAACTTCTGGGATTGTTGGTCTCGGAGGAGGTTCGATTTCTTTGGTTTCTCAGATAAGTTCTTCCATTGATGGTAAATTCTCATACTGCTTGGCCCCATTGTCGAGTAATCGAACGACCAAGTTGAATTTTGGAGCAAACGGTGTCGTTTCTGGAGCAGGGACTGTTTTTACTCCAATGTTTTGGAAAGATCCAGCGGCTTTCTGTTACTTTACGTTGGAAGCAATTAGTGTTGGAGACAAAAGGATAGCCTTTACATCATCAGGTGATTCGATTTTATCTCATCAATCACTAATTTATGTTTGTTAATAATGAGAAATAAGAAAAAAAAAATTAAGTCAAGATAGCTATCAATTAAGTTATGAATGCTTACCCATTAACGATACACTTCTGGACATGTGAGACTCGTTTTGACAGTGGATATAATTTCTATTAATGAAAAATGAGCGAGTAAATTGATGAAAATATTTGTTTTTAATTCGTAGAATTGTATATATGCACTGTAATAATTTGAGATAGAACTCATGTTCTTGCCTTATTCGAGTTATTTATACCAGGTCGTTAATTTGATTTCTTTGGTTCACGCCCTCTTCTTTAGTTACATGATCATATCATCTCAAAGCAATGTTTTAATTTAAAAAAAAAGGCCAAGGTTGACTTACAATTTGATCATACTAATTTGTTAAACGACATCACACACAACAGAATTATCCATAACCATATATTTAGGCGTGATGTAGATTAGATTATAACCTGAATTTTTAATTTCTAATTAGGTGCATTATATTATTTGTGTTGATGCTATAAGAAAAGGACTTGGTTTGCATGTAGGTGGTTCAGTGGAGGGGGGCAACATAATAATTGATGCGGGAACAGCACTGACTTTGCTTCCACAAGACTTCTATTCAAAACTTGAAGCAGAAGTTGCTTCACAAGTGAAATTTTAACGTGTTGAAGACCCATTAAAGATTTTGAGCCTTTGTTATAAGTCTTCGTCGCAAAGCATTGAAGCTCCCATTATTACTGCTCATTTTAAAGGTGCAGATGATAGGTTAAGTACACTTAACAGCTTCACTAAAGTTTCTGGGGATGTGTTTTGTTTTGCTTTCCGCTCATTTTCACGTGGTGCTGTGTTTGGGAACATCGCACAGATGAACTTCTTGGTGGGTCATGATATTCAGAAGAAGTTGGTTTCCTTCAAGCCACTGGATTGCAGCAAGCTTTGATTTTTTTATGTTTTCTGTCATTAATAATTAAACTGTTTTTTCTTGGCCAGATTATCATGTGTAAACTCGATTATTTACGTGGAAATTGGAACGTTGTTTGTTTTGTCTACTGAGAAGAATTAGTACAACTCGAACTGTATCTGAAATAAATAATAGTAATATACAAATGCCTAAACTGTGATTCTCTTTTTTTCGTTAATATTGACGACGTATATGAGAATATGAACTTAGCTCAAAATTACTAAATTCCAAATAAAGAATTGCAACAAAAATATATTATATTTATAAGTCCAGTCTTGTCAAAACCTATTAAAATGTTATTATTAATAATTTCAAGTTTTTTTTTTGTGTAACTCTTTTAATTTAAAACTTTATATGACAGTAGCATGATGGATTGAAAGACATAGCGTGAATCTTAACGACGAAACATTTTGATATGGATGATTTTGATTTATTTTTATTATTGAAGGTACTATATAGAGATAAGTGTAGACTAAAGTATATATTTACTTAAATTGCTGTTTAATCACCCAATTGATAAAGTATATTTTTAGTCTATTACTTTTAAAACTGTTAATCTTATTGAAGGAAAATGCTCACTCAACCAATTAGATGATAACTTATGCAATCTAATAGCCACTAAACATACTTAAATTTTAATTATTTAATATAATGGTGTTTTTTTCCGGTAAATATATGTATTTTTTAATTGGAAGCAATCCTATTTAAAGTACTGTTATGTACTAAATATGACTACTTCTCTTAACAGATATTCAAACTTAATTTATCATATTGTGATGGACTAGCATTTTTTGCCGTTAGACTAACTCTGTTGGTAACATAATGATATGTTTTAAAATTAAAATATACAAATATGCAAATTTGTACAATTGAAGCCCACATTGAGGTCTTCGGCTTTTTGTTATTGGGCCCGAAACAATTATACTTTTGATCCCCTAAGAACTTTCCAGAGAAAGTGGGGGAGAAAACAATCAAATTGGTGCAAAGAAGATAAGAACAAGTTAACGTGAGACTGATGTACAAGATCAATTAATGTTTGCCACTCTGCTTCTGAATATATGTCACTGGTATGTAGCAGGGAGAAGTTTTAGTCCAAAATGTAAGTTATTTGTAATATATTTAATCTTTTTTTTTTTCAATTTTATCCTTATAATTTGATTCTTATTGAAAAGAGCAAAAGAAGAGAGAGATATGGCAATGATTTATAAATATAGGGAAAGTGAACGTGGACAATAAGGGTGAAATTTAAAAAATCATTGCATTCCTTAATACTCCCCTAAGTCAATAATATAATAAGTTGGTTAATTTTTCTCACGTATTAAAAAAATAAAATTTTAATAATTAAATTTGTTTTAAAATGACAGAAATTTTCCTATTTTATCCCTAAAAAATGATAAAGCTGCTTCTAATATCATATTTTTTATTATCTATCATCTCCCTCCTATATTTAATAGGAATGAAAGTAAAAAAATTATATTAATTGTTCCGACAAAGTCTTTTATTTTAGATCATAAATCATAATTTTCCTAACAAATTTCTTATATTACGAACCAGATGGAGTATATAAAAATGTGCTATACATAACTTGTATCAAGGATTTATAATATAATCAAAACAAAAGACGCATGCAGGTAGCCAGGTGCTATTAATTGCCCGTGTGAACTGTGGAAATTGATCAAATCTTTAAGAATAACACTGCATTATTATTATCTTGCCCAAAAAAAAACATTGAATTATCAAAAGACTACTGAGACTGTTGACTTAAATAGTTAATGTATAAAATATGAATCAATCATTATCTATGTAGCTAATAATAATATAATCCTTATAAAGCTTCTCATAAAATATTGCTTCTAGCTAATAATAATGTTGGTTCCTCTTCCTGCCCAGCATAATAAATGAATCTCCAACATGTTATCATGGACATCAACATCAAAATTCTTCACAATAACACCCTTACCAGTGCCACCAGCCTCCTTTATAACGTTAAAGTCTCTCAAGTATTTCCGACCCTATCAATAGATGCGCACAAAAGCTTCAGATTTTAAGAAATTTAATTAACATACATCGCAAAAGCCGCGTATTGAAGCATTATATAAATCAGTAATCATTTGCATGGCTAGAGAGGGTCTTATTTCCTCACTCTTCATTGGATTCTCTAATCACTAGAAGAAAAATTAGATTCACTCACTTGCATTGAAGTGTCAAATATACGCATTCTAATGCCGGTGAAATTTTGGTCATGCGAATACATAATCTCAGCAAAATATAGCTGGACGTTTGTAAACAATGAATGATCTGCATGTGTGGTGACAACCTCTTTAAAAAAGAAAACAAGGAGAAGAACAGGGTTCTGTCCAGCAACCCAAATATCATTATTACTCCGTTACACGTATTTTCATTTTTCCGGTTTTGGTATTAACTCTAAAAATAAACAACACTTTCATATGAAAAATAGAAAAGCACAAAAGACTAGAGCATCAAGAAATAAAAAACAGCACCTAACCAAGAAAAGTTAACAGCAAAAGAATGTAGCATTAAGCATTAAAAATCAAAGACTGGAGAATAACATTTGCCGGAAAGAAGAAGAGAGAACAGCAATAATGCTCTCAGTCCTCAGAAGCCCATTCTTCTCCCATATCTCTCAGTAGCTAATCTAAACCTCCACTTTTCTGAGGAGATCTGCTCTCAGAAAGTGCTGAGAGCGAAATCAAAAAACAGAAAAGCTTAGAGCTTGTAGGGAGGAACGGTAGAAGGTGAGGGAGAGATCAGCAAGATGGAGGGAGAGTGACGAGAAAAAGTGGTGATGAAATAAATAACAAAAAAAATGAAGGAAAATACAAAGAGATGGATAGGAAATAGAAGATCGAACCGGTGGAAAAGGAGGCATTTGCAGGGATGTCGAAGACATAAAGCGCCTTGAGAGGCACTGTGAGAGCAGGGAATAAGGAAGGAAGAATGCAGAGAGGAGGAATTTCGGAGTTGTGGGCATTTAAGGATCAAAAGGGTAACGCCATGGGAGGGGATCTTCCCACCGAATATTCTCTCTGTGTTGTCCGAAATCTAATCCGTCTTGTTTGCTTGCACGAAACCTGCCTGAAGAGAAGAAGCCTACTACTCAGCTATGGCTTAGCCTTTTTCCTGTTCTTTATTTGTTTTTCCATATGAGATATAATCCTTATAATGCTTATCCTTTTTGAATTTGATTCCCTTCCACTACACTCCAAATCATCCCCTCTAACATTCAGTTTTAGAACCGCCCTTAGCAGCCTGTTGACCCAAAAATCTATTATTTTTCTTTTTTTAAGAGTTCACGTGGAACCTCTTGATCAATGCTGCTTTTTCTTACATAAAGAAATACTAGCAGGTAATTAAGTTTGTCTACTGTTGTTCCTATTTAAAGCCATTAATTATGGGGGAAAAAGTAATACAAGTCTATAACTGTTCTACTTAAATATGGATAAAATAAAATAAAATTCATTTGTAGGCAAAGCTAATAATAAAATAACCTCCCATTAATATTAAAAAAAGACAACAAACATGTCTGGAAAAGGTGGATGTGTGAGGGAGTAATTTACGCTAAGTTTCCATTAAATAATTATTTCCAGGATGATGTATACAGGTCGATGGTCACAGTATTCGTTGATTTTATTTTTGCTTTTTCCTCCAAAAATTCTCTAGAGAAATAAATATGTACAATTACTATCAGAGCCTCAAGATTCTTTTGATCAAAACATTACAAGGAAATAAAAATCAATATTAATTTAAAAGATGATGGTGGTAAAAACTCTTAAAAATATAAAGTTAATGTAGAGTGATAATACTCATAATTATGATGCATAATTTTGCTCCTTTTTTTTTTTTGGGTACAAAAGAGGGCAAAGCCCAATTAGAATAAATTAAATAAACTGGGGACTTAATCCCATACTCTCTCTTTGCACAGTGTCCTCAATAAAAGCAAGACAAACCTCGTAAAGAACAAAATTTGTAATTCCTCACTTAGCTAGAGTATCCGCCACACCATTATAGGATCAAGGTGCATAGATCAGCTTTAGTTCCCATGGTAGAAGAAGTGAGTCCTCGATTTGGACAAACATCATACTACAATTCTGAAGCATTCCTTTGTGCAGTAACTGATCCACCAACTCTTTAGCATTAGACCCCACTATTTTAAAACCAAGATCCCACGCCATCTTCAAACCTTTGAACAATGCCCACTCTTCCGCCTCAAATGCACTACACAAACCAATCTTGTGAGAGAATCAAGCTATCCATGTTCCGGTCGGATCTCTGAGAACACCTCCACCCCAGCCATAGCTGATCTGTGATCCCTAGCTCCATCAACATTCAGTTTTACCCATCCACGAGGAGGTGGCTTCCAAATAGAGCTGCCCAACGTCACCTCATTGCAACTCTTTTCACAATCCGTCCTCATTATATAGGTTTTCTAGCTGTTTTTAATTATCATCAACAGTTTCACAGGTTGTTGATATTCCGGATCAAATTCCGCCTTGTTTGTCCAGCACCATAACTCCCAAACAATCACCCCCCACAAAAGATTCCAGTCCGCCACTTCTGAGTTCCTTACATGACACTTCAAATTGACTGAAAACCAATCTCGCAGAGGTAATGTGAAAAAATGCTGAATATTTGTAGGCTCAACTAAGTCCATCCAAATTTGCCTGGTAAAGCTATAGTCTTGCAAAATTTGGATGGTATCTTCATTATGTGTATGACAGTAAGAGCACTTTGGGGAATCTGTAGACCAGGAACTTCGCCACATTTTGGTTGGGAGCTTATTATTGAAAGCCCTCCATAAGAAAACTCTCACCCTCTCCACACCCTGCCAATTCCATATCAGCTTATAGGTTGGGTGGTAAAAATCTTCGAGATGCTGTTGCAGCAAAAAATAGGCACTTCTAATCTAGAATTCTCCATTTGGATATGCTTTCCAAGATATAAAATCACTGCTAGCCTCA